TCGTAACACACCAAAAAAATTTTTCTTTTTACTTCTATTCTCAGTCAATTTAATCAAAAAAAAGGCAATATACCTGTATTTGGTAAGTATCAAATAATTATAAATTCCAAGGAATCTACAACAAGGGCACGTTACTACGCTAAGGCACCCCGAATTCTCCAAAATTGACTAGTCTATTTTTCCTTAAACACGTCGTGTCCTCAGTATTCCACCACATTTTCAACCACCCAAGTTGCACGTAATTACGAGACGACGTTATAACAATTGTCACTGGTATCTGATCTCTGATAAAAGTTTTTCGAAAAGTAGTCGAAAGGATGGAGGACTACATGGAATACCTCTTCTCACTCTTCAACTCCCTATACCACGTTAATGGGCTTGAACAAACTCCCTAAAAACGGATACAATAGCTCGGGAATAACGAGTCATTCCCGTGACCGAGTAAAGCACCGTTAGACGTCCGTCACCGTTCATGAAGCGTGAGACGGTCTGGCCGGGCGGATGAGGCAACAGTAGACACCGCGTCATGTATACGGTGTCTACGGTGTTGAACGCACGTTTTATACGGTGTTGGGTATGTGTTGAACGGCACGTCATATACGGTGTTGAAATATCATCACGTTCACGGGGGTGTCTAGAAGCGGCAGCGTTCGATTTGACGGTGGTTCATTTCTCATTTCTCTTCCCAAAATTGCCATACGACGTGAGCGGAAGGCAGTTACGAACTATAAATTTGGGCATAAATAGCGCATTTTACGCGACAAACCGTACTGAAATAGGCTGACTAGCACATCCTCTGAATTAGCCCCGAGCGAAAAATGCTAACCTATTACTGCACCAAAAATCACTCCTAGCTCCCTCATTAATTATCCTAGCTGCACATCCAACACATCGTTTATGATCGTAAAGACACAGAATCTAACGGTGCCAAACTCAACACTGAAAGATACAAACTCGCGACGTTATCAACAAAAACGTACATCAAAACATGTGGCGCTAGGAAGCCAAAAACGCTAACATGGCTTACCTTGGTCTTTGTCTGGTCAAAACTGGTCTTCAGTGGTATTAAAACGATAAAAACGATGCTGTAGTTAATCCATAGGTTAATATCCAATGTGACTGTGACCCCTTTGAAATGTTCTAATAATCTATAAGCAATAAAACTGCTTTTCCGTTTCCAGAAATCAGAGCAGGGATATTTCTACCCTCTGCTGCAAGCTTGCATGCGAAAGACGGGACCTTTTTTTTTTAACATGAGAGTGTGCGGGACGATTTCCCTTTGATTCTATTGGCTCTAACGGTCAGGAAGACATGTCACATGTCAAAATCGAGCAAGGGGGGCCAGGGATAAGGCAAATCCACCCAATTGGCCCCAGAAGAGGTTTTGTTTGCTAAACCTCTCTAAAAAGGTCAAATATCACTTGTTTTGCATCAATCTTGATACAGGGTACTTACTGTATGTTGTACTTTGGATTCCTAAAGCTTTTAGTCTACTAACCCATCATCCAAGGTTAGTTTTCACTATAAGTACAACATATATTTTGCACGGACACTATCATTTACAGTTTTTTACCATGTTCAATCTGAATTTTCTTTAAGATAAAAAACATCTATATTGATTATGAAACTTCTACATCCAACTCACAGGTTTATCATTACTTTGAGAAGAAAGATTATTAATTTAACCCTTTTAGAAGGGGAGATACGGTCATTTGTTCTGGGAATGTCATTTTCGAGCCTGAGACCTGAAAAACGGGCTCAGGGCTTAACTGGTTAAGACCAAAACTCATGAACAACAACTTCCTGACTAACAACAAATCAGCACTAATTAGAGGGTTTTTGAGGAAAAACTCTCAACTAATGGATTATTACTTGTAGAATATGGCATTAATAAGTGTTTTATAATGACTAATAAAGAGCAATGTACTGCTACTATGCAACTAGTTGATGGTGAATATGTGTACCTTAATGCAAAGTGTTACCCTATTATTTAAAGTCCTGATCATCGTCTCTCCTCACCGTCCTGGTTCAGGTCTCAGCTGCTTCAGAGTCTCCGTGAGACGAGAGGCGAGAAGAAGACCAGGCGGAAAGTTCTGAGGCAGTTCGAGGACGAGTTTTACCGTCAGACCGGGAGGTGAGACTCCGAAACTCTTTCTACAGTTTCTGTTTTACTTCCTGTTTCTGTTTTACTTCCTGTTTCTGTTTTACTTCCTGTTTCTGTTTTACTTCCTGTTTCTGTTTCACTTCCAGTTTCTGTTTTACTTCCTGTTTCTGTTTCACTTCCAGTTTCTGTTTTACTTCCTGTTTCTGTTTTACTTCCTGTTTTACAGCTGGTCTGGAACAGCCTCCCAGTACAAATCCGGACTGCTCAGTCTGTTGAACTTTTTAAATCCCAGCTCTAGACTCACCTCTTTGCTCTGGCTTTGTTAGGAAGTTTATTTACAGCAGCTTTCAACACAAGGCAATTCAAAGTGCTTTACGCAAATGAAAGACATTAAGAGCATTAACCTGTTAAGCTTTTGTTCACAGAACTGTGTCTCAGGGCTTCTTAACATGTAGCAACCTATTCATGTGTCATACCCACTTAACGGGAAGAAACTCAGCTACCTGATGATATGAACCATTTTTACAGAAACAAAACACAAGTCTAACACCAAGCCTCTGAATTAGCTCTAAGTGAAAAAATGCTAACGCACTTAGCACATGACTCACGGTAGAAATATGTTATACTTCATCGGATCTGCACAAACTAGATATCATATGGTATAACTATCATCACTGAGCGACCTAAACTCAGGGCAGCGAAAGCCACCAAAGACAACACACAACTTAGCTTTACGGAGCCAAACGGCAAATACTTCTTACCTTTGCTGTTCTCTGATCAAAAGTCGTGTTCAATGGCATTAAAACGATAAAACGCTGCTGAAGGTTAATCCAATGAGTCACTTTGAAATGATTTCTGATAATCCATCTTCATATTTATCATTAATAAACCTAGCTTTCAGTTTTCAGAGCGTAACGTAGCTTTCGGTTTTAGCAAACTGCGTGCGCATCACTCTCACTCCTCAATGTAACGTGATTTAGGAACTTCCCCTCGATTCTATTTCCAGAGAAACGCCAAATGGCCCCAGAAGAGGGTTTTCTTTCTAAACCTCTCTAAAAAGGTCAAACTTCACTTGTTTTGCATCAATCTTGATTCAGGGTATTTATTATATGTTATAGTTTGGATTCCTGAAGCTTTTAGTCTGCTAACCCATCATCCGAGGTTAGTCTTCACGAGATGTAATGTTTTATTTTTGGACAGACACAATCATTTACATTTTTTTACCATGTCCAATCTGAATTTCCTTTCAAATGAAAACATCTATATTGAATCTGACTTTTCTACATCCAGCAGGTTCATCATTACTTTGAGAACAAAGGTTATTAATTTAACCCTTTTAGAAGATATGGTCATTTGTTCTGGGAATGTGATTTTGGAGCCTGAGACCTGGAGAACAGGCTCGGGGCTGAACAGGTTAAGAAACATATTATAAAATTTAAAAAAATAACAACACAGGTACATGAATACAAGTTACAGTGCAGTGTGAGATATGAATAGTTCAGTTAAAAGCAGCGTTACAAATAAAAGTCTTTAGCCTGGAGACTACTAGAACGTAACATTTTGACGTTTTCATGTTTCTATATGTTATTGTGCTTTTTATCATGTTTTATTATTTTACTCCTATTGTGTTCTTTTATATTGTATGTGTTCCCTGTACAGCACTTTGTTTTAAATGTGCTATATAAATATGTGCAATATGTGCAATATGTATATACCGGTATATGTGTTTTTTGTAAATTGTGTAACTTTTTTTATTATAATTCTTTTTTTATGTGTAATATGTTATTTTATGCTTTAGGTAACATTAAGCTATCTTTGTCTCTTTCCTGCTGTAACAAAGTACATTTCCCCTCTATGGGACCGCTAAAGGGATCCAGGTTGTTCTCTGAGGTTTCTCTTGTTTCTCAGGATCTGCCAGAAGGAGGACCGCAGTCCGATGAAGGAGGAGTACCAGGAGTACAAACAGCTGAAGGCCAAACTCCGCCTGCTGGAGGTGCTGCTCAGCAAACAGGAAGTCCAGCTCGGCAAACAGGAAGTCCCTAAAAAACACATGTGAAGCTCTCAGAAACTCTGCCAAACGAGACCAAAGCTCCCGAGAAGAGGAAAGGTCTTTTATTTTCCCGATCAGAGGACAGGAAGTGGTCATATTTCAGCTACGTTAGCTGTAAAACGAGCGGAAAACCTCCATGGATTGCAATCTGATCATCTTTCACCTCAATCAGAGCCTTTGTAAGAAAACAGTAAATACGACGAACAGGTGGAGGGAGGTGAGATTCAGAAGGAAACACTTTAAGACCATTTGAATTAATTTACGAGAAAAAAAAGTCAAAGCACAAATTCAAATCTGCGGTGAAAAATACATTTCACCTCAAAGGCCTTTTTCTAATAAAGTGGTATATTTACTAAAGATATCTCTCAAACTCACAGGACAATCTTCTAATTTACGAGAAAAAAATAACAGATGGACAAGAAATAAAACAAATACTCTCAGATAAACATTTTTGATTTCGGGGGAAGAAAAAATCTAAATACGAAAATAATCTAGATTTTCTCTTAAAAAAAATAAACTCCCAAAGTTTGGAGAAAAAACTCCATTTACAAGATGTTCTCTGAGATTTAAGTAGAAATGAAACAAATTCAAGATTAAAACCCGGAATAATAATGTTTTTGTTGGGTTTCTTTGTGAATCCCGGTTTGATCAGTTTGTTATGTATCTTATCTCCCAAAGCGTTCACAGACTAAAGCATAACACATGAAACTTTATCGTCATGGAAACATCGCTGTTTCTAAGGTAGCGTGATAACATCCAAGTGATTGATGCCTTTTCTTTAACGAAGGCCGCTCGAGTGAACATTTCAGTCTGAGACTTCTTTACGGCGGCCCACAGCTGCCAGATATAAAAACACAAATGTGCCAAAACACACGCATGTCTCCTCAAGCTGCTGAATGTTCTCTAAACGCTGCACGTGGTGTCAAGTTGCTGAAGATGTTTCTTCATGTGGAACATTTGGGTTTCTGCATCTGCATCCTTCCTGAAGCTGCAGCCGATTCTCCGTCCCTCTCACCACTTCCTCTCTGAACTGTAGAAACTGCAAATACTTCAGAAAGGTTTTATAATAATCTGTCAGTGGAAAGCAGCAGTGTGTATTCATCTACCTGCAGCTTCCTCTCCATCCTGTTTGATTCATTGGACCAAATCTTTATTTTATACTCGATGTGTGTACGTGAGCTGGAAGCACTTTAATGGAAAAAGAGACTTTATTTATGAACTGAAAAGCGTTTGGGACGAAGATGCAATGTAGAGATAACGGTTTGTTTCGCAGAGAGATGCATCTGTGTTTATATCATAGCACGCATTTATTTTTATCCAGATGTTTGGTATGCAACAAGGTGCTGGTGATTTATATTTAAAGAGAGAACAGGGAACGAAAATAATTGTACAGCCGTCTAAAATGTGTCCGGTGGATCGTGAGAGCGTGAAGGCAGCGTTACAGAAAGTCTCTCTGAGTTTCCTCAAACGCAGCAAACTTCAGTCAGAGCGATCCTTCTGCACGTTCTGCCTTTTATAAAGTAAACAACATAATGTAAAGTGTTTCCTCCTGTAGGATCCCAACGGCTCCTAGCGCTCCTTTTGATCTGTTTCCAACAACGGAAAAACCCACGAAGCTTCGACCAAATATTACGTTAACTTCCAAAGTTATTTGCAAAAATTAAACACATTTTGGAGATCTAAACTTTTCCTTTTTTTAAGTTTACTATTCATTAAACAGATGTTTATTTGATAAGCTATTCTCCAGAACTACATCGTTTCTGAAAAGAGACTAATTTGTGGAATCTCGATTTTGAATCTGCAGCTTTGATCCAGATTCAATCCTGGCCTCTGGACGGAGAGATGTTCTCAGTGTCCTCTGAGGTTAAACCTCCGTGTTGGTGTCACTGTATTCATGCTGTGAATATTAAACTACATCCTGTTGTTCCACACAGACCAGTTTCAAATAAATATTTTTGATATCAACACAGTCTGTTGAGTTTCATTGTCGTGTTGGAATCAGCACGGTGTAACCTGAAGGTGATTTAAATGTTCCTGCATGTAAAGGCCATTTGCTAAATGTTCACTTTAGTGTTTAAGGTTTCTTCCAGAGCAGAGGAAACAGTCACCAGCTTTATGAAATCCTTAAAGTTATTATTTTTTCTACCACCAGATGAATCGCGTTTTTTGGGACTGAACGTTCAAAAAGTTCTTTTTTTATCAATTTAATTTTTTCAGGTCTATTAAACTAGTTATGTTTTTTTGGAAAAGATTTCTGGTTTTGGTTTGTTTTCCTCTGTCAGGGTTAAGGCCCGGACACACCAGGCCGAAATCGACCTTTTTCGTGAGTCGGACGACGAAGCGTGCCCTGTCGCCCAAACTCAATTTGGTGTGTCCCGCACCGTCGGCCGTGACACGACTTATTTGGCCTTTCATGGCCGTGCGTCGGCCACAGGCAGTTGGACAAAGAAATCACTCTGATTGGCTGTTCAGCCAGCGAATCAGTGCATGAGAAGCGAAACGGTTGCTTGAGAATGTCTTCCACACGCAACACTCCCATGGCTGATAACTCCAGTACCGCACGAAACATGTTTTCGATGGACGAGAGTGAAAATGGAACGCACACGCTATTTGTTGTTAGTTGAGATCACGCAGTCTGTTCTTCTTCTCTGTCTTCCCGTTGTTGCCTCTTTTGAATGACGACACACTACCGCCGCCTGCTGGTAAGGAGAGTTATTGCCACTCACGCATGCGCAGTTTGTACGTGCTCGGCTGAAGTCTTTGCGGTGTGTTCCAGTCATGGTTCCAGTGCGACACATGGCAAAGACGCAGGAGAACACGCCGACGCAACAGTCGGCGTCAGTGTCAGCGAGTTCTCTGGTGACTGCTTGGTGTGTCAGGGCCTTAAAGGCCATTTGCTAAATGTTCACTTTAGTGTTTAAGGTTTCTTCCAGAGCAGAGGAAACAGTCACCAGCTTTATGAAATCCTTAAAGTTATATTTTTCTACCACCAGATGAATCGCGTTTTTTGGGACTGAACGTTCAAAAAGTTCTTTTTTTATCAATTTTATTTGTTCAGGTCTTTTAAACTAGTTTTGTTTTTTGGGGAAATGTCGGCCAATTTCGATTTAATGGCAAGTTTTTGCACTTTTTAAATTTTTTGTTTGCTGTTATTTGCAAATCAACTTTTTTTTGTCATTTTGTGTTTCTTTTTAGTCAACATGTTTATTCAACATTACATTAATCAGTTTGCAGCACATGATTCATATTTGATATCTTGATTCCAGTATTTATAGACATGTTTGAATCGTCAGAATATTCTCCCTTGATAATGAATTTCTCTACAGCTGTTCCTAAAGTCCCGTCAAGTGACCCTCGCTGCAGACGATGATGTCACTGGTAGTAAAAACTGTCGGTGACGGTGAAAACGTCGGACGTCCCTTCGTACGGCTTGAAGACGTCCTTCTTCTCTTTGAAGTTTCCGAAGTGTTTGATCCTGTAGGAGCCGCTGGGCGCTGCCGCCGGGACGAACCAATCCACGGTAGCTTTACTGCGCTGGAACGAACCCTTCAGCCAATGAAACCTGCAGAGAGACGTCCAACTCAAACACTGCAGGGGTCTAAATATGAATTTATTTACTTTGGTTCCTTTATTACTTTTTGCTGGACTAAAAACACACTTTGGGCTCATTTTTTAATATTTATACAATTTTTATTATTTTTGTCAAAATCATGAATTTCATTTTTATAACAAAAAGTTACTTTTATGATGCAGGACTTACTAAATTACACGCTAACGTACCTGGTTTCCCATGATGCATCAGTGTAAACGACCTCCCAGGTGTTTGTCCGGTTGTCGTGAATCTCAACAGTTACAAAAGTTTTATCTCTCTGTAACAGATGACAGGAACAAGGTTAGAGAGGACTGGAAAACAAAGACGGTAACAAAAAGAAATAAAGCAGATTTTGTTCTCACGATGTCTCCAGAGTTTCTTGGGTTTCCTGCTACGAACGTGACGGAGACAACATCCCCCTAAAACACATATTAAAGTATTTTAATTCATGTTTTTCCACATAGAAACAGAAGTGTGTCGTCAGCATAACGAGGGTATAAAACCTTTTTAGTGTAAAACCTAAAAGGGCGAATTAAAACAGTTTAATCCATAATCATTCAGATAGAAGCAGCAGGGTGTCGTCGGCATAACGACGGCCCAGTATGGAGCCCTGAGGGAAGCCACAGAGGACGATTTATGATTTTAAATGTCCCACCGGTCTGTAGACGGGGAGAACCTGCTGCAGGACGTCTCCGAAGCTGGTGTTCAAGGGTTTCCTGTCAATCCTCGGTGCAGGAAGCAGATTGAAGAGTTTCTCCGTAAAGAAAGGCGGCTCCGGGCCGACCGGCAGCTCCAACACCCGGTCCTGCACACAGACATCCAAACACCGTTAGTACCGTTGGTGTTCGAGGACTTAAGTTGTTTAGTTGTTTATATTTTGTCAAGTTAACATTAAGGCGTAATCTCAATAATGAAAGCGGGTTTTTTTGTCATTTTAACTCAAAACAGGATTAAAATAAATGGAGGAAAAACTATTTTTAATATCTCATGAACATTTTTTGCCAAAAAAATTCAATAATTTAAGAATAATAATTTAATAAATAACACATTAAAATTAAGGTTGGAATTTTCTTGAGGAATACATTTGAAATATTTAGAAAAAATGTCCAACTATTTAAGTTTTTTTCTAACTTTTCTCTTCTATTTGTACAAGTTCTTTTTGCAAATTATACCAACTTCAGTTTTTCTTAATAAAAATGCCAGTCTCACCTGTGCGATGGCTCGGGCCAGCCCTCTGTATTTCTGCAGGTACGCACTGAGCGTGTGCGGACCGTAGATGGTGGACGCGCCTTCGTACCGCTGCACCTGGAAAAAACAACAACAATGCACTGAGAATTATTTACACTTTGTTTGCCAGAAATCCTGTTTATTTTATTTTTTTCTGTGTGTCTTCTTCACAACTGAGCCTCTGCTGTTTGTACCTGGTACTCTTCGAAGGTGGTGATGTAGTGCGTGTAGCTGTTACTCAGGCCGGCGATCACCACCTCCGAGTCCCTGAACGCACCCTCCGACTGCAGCTCCTAACACGCACACACACACACACACACACACACACACACACACATTTTT